TTATTTTATATATATGTATAGCTTATTGTTTCCCACATTATTTTTTAAAATTTGAATGTTTTGAAAAGTTATAAAAAGCTATATCTCTTAAATTATTTAGTTTCACTCTTTACATTACCTTATTTTAAAATAGATTAGAGAGATGTAATTAAAAAAAATTAAGGAAAAAATTTATTGCACCCTAGCTATGTACAATATCAATTCTTTGAATAAAATCTTCATGTGTTTCCCTTTTGCCTCATGGGAAATTTGGAATTGAATAAATACAAAATTTGACACACCTTAATTCAAAGAGTCCTTAAGGATCCACATTCTTTATGTTGAAAACTCTACACATTACGTCTCTAGAAATGAGAGGTTTAAAAATTGTCATTACTAAGAATTGCATTATTGCATACCAATAAAAATGAAAGTGCTATAAAACCTCCTCGACCATTAAAAGGGTCCTCTAAAAATGTCACAACTAGAAATTTAAAAACTGTAAAAATTTCTTTATTATAGAATTTATTATAAGATACAAATTGTTGATTTTTTTAAAAATAAATTTTGATAGTTAATTAAAATTATAATTTACTTGGTATCTAATGAATTCATTTTAAATGTTTAGAAAAAGCTAATTAAAGGCTTTTAATTTTTTCCTATTAGACCTTAACCAGCTTTTATCCTCCTTGATTAGAGTTTTGGATTTAAATTAATATAGTTTGACTTGAATCAATCTCATAAAATCAAAATCAAAGTTTTTTTTGAAAATAGCTCAAATTAAATTTATGGGCTTGAATTGAAAATTTGAAAAGGGTCACTTTCGACAACTTGACAGACATACAACTTCGTTTTAATGAGTTATACAACGTGGTTTATTACGTTCATTTTCAAGACAAAATTTAAAAATTGTTATGGAAAACTGAAAAATGTGAAATTAAATTAGAGCAACATTTAAGGAGGCATTAAAGACTAAAAAGAAGATTTAATTGCTAGAGGTTCCTCCACCAACCATTTCAAATTAGATTTAGTTTCAAGATGACCAGCTGATTTCTTCCATAAAAAGCTTATAGGAATTTTCTATATAATAATTCTTATGAGCTTAATTGTTCCCCTTTCTTGAGTGATTTCTTTGGGGCTCTTTTTTTTTCACATGAAGGGTTTTGTATTCTCCTTGAATCTGGATTTGATTCTTAGCAAGGTGATTGAAGTTAAGAGATATACTTCATTTGTAAATAGTTTTAAGCACCTGAAAGTTACGTGTAATAGTTTATTCTTATAGTCACAAGCAAGAGTTTGTTCTTATTAATCTTGCACTCGTAAGCAAAAAAATCTCAGTGGCTTGAACTCTTAGAGGAGTAAATTATATAATTTTACTCTTTACATTACCTTGTTTTAAAATAGATTGGAGAACTGTACTTAAAAAAAATTAAGGAAAAAATTTATTGTGCCCTTGTTATATTCGTATCAATTCTTTGAATAAAAACTTCATGTGTTTCTCTTCTACCTCGTGGGAAATTAGAAATGGAATAAATATGAAATTTGATGCATCTTAATTCAAAGAATCTTTAAGGATCCACATTTTTTATGTTGAAAACTCTACACATTATATCTCTGGAAATGAGAGGTTTAAAAATTGTCGTTATCAAAAATTGCATTATTGCGTACCGATAAAAATGAAAGTGATATAAAACCCCCTCGACCATTAAAAGGGTTCTTTAAAAATATCACAGCTAGAAATTTAAAAATTGTAAAAATTCCTTTATTATATAATTTGTTATAAAATACAAGTTGTTAATTTTTTTTATAAATTTTGATAGTGAATTAAAACTATAATTTACTTGGTATCTAATGAATTTCATTTTAAATGTTTAGAGAATCTAATTAAAGACTTTTAATTTTTCCCTATAATTAGAATAAGAGCTTAACCAGCTTTTATCCTCCTTGATTAGAGTTTTAGATTTAAATTAATATAATTTGACTTGAATCAATCTCATAAAATCAAAATCAAAGTTTTCTTGAAAATAGCTCAAATTAAATTTATGAGCTTGAATTGAAAATTCGAAAAGGGTCACTTTTGACAACTTGACAGACATACAACTTCGTTTTAATGAGTTATAAAATGTGGTTTATTACATTCATTTTCAAGACAAAATTTAAGAATTGTTATGGAAAATTGAAAAATGTGAAATTGAATTAGAGCGACATTTAAGGAGGCATTAAAGACTAAAAAGAAGATTTAATTGCTAAAGGTTCCTCCACCAACCATTTCAAATTAGATTTAGTTTCAAGATGACCCATTGATTTCTTCCATAAAAAGCTTATAGGATTTTTCTATAAAATAATTCTTATGAGCTTAATTGTTCCCCTTTCTTGAGTGATTTCTTTGGGGCTCTTTTTAATTTACACAAAGGATTATGTATTCTCCTTGAATCGGGATTTGATTCTTAGTAAGGTGAGTGAAGTTAAGAGATACTTCACTTGTAAACGATTTTAAGCACTTGAAAGTTAGATGTGATAGTTTATTTTTGCACCCATAAGCAAGAGTTTGTTCTCATTAATCTTGCACTTGTAAGCAAAAAGATCTTAGTGGCTTGAAGTCTCAAGCAAGGAGATTTAGCGAGTAAATTATATAGTTTTATTCTTTACGTTACCTTGTTTTAAAATAGATTGGAGAGGTGTACTTAAAAAAAAATTAAGGAAAAAATTCATTGCACCCTAGCTATGTATGATATCAATTCTTTGAATAAAAACTTCATGTGTTTCCCTTTTGTCTTGTGGGAAATTTGGAATTGAATAAATACGACATTTTGCGGCCTTTTATTTCAAGGATTCTTTAGGGTTTCCCTTTTTTATGTTGAAAACTCTACACATTATATCTCTGGAAATGAGAGGTTTAAAAATTTTCATTATTAAGAATTGCATTATTGCATACCGATAAAAATGAAAGTGGTATAAAACCTTCTCGACCATTAAAAGGGTCTTTAAAAATGTCATAATTAGAAATTTAAAAATTGTAAAAATTCCTTTATTATATAATTTATTATAAGATACAAATTGTTGATTTTCTTTTAATATAAATTTTGATAGTGAATTAAAATTATAATTTACTTGGTATTTAATGAATTTCATTTTAAATGTTTAGAAAAGCTAATTAAAGGCTTTTAATTTTTTCCTATAATTTTTTTTTGAACATTAATTTTTCCTATAATTAGAATAAAAGCTTAACCAACTTTTATCCTCCTTGATTAGAGTTTTAGATTTAAATTAATATAATTTGACTTGAATCAATCTCATAAAATCAAAATCAAAGTTTTTCTAAAAATAGCTCAAATTAAATTTATGGGCTTGAATTGAAAATTCTAAAAGGGTCACTTTCGACAACTTGACACACATATAGCCTCGTTTTAATGA